AAATATGATACATTGTGGTTGGTTGATCAGCTAGAACAAGGTATAATACATTGTGATTGGTTTATCAGCTAGATCAAAATATGATACATTGTGGTTGGTTGATCAGCTAGATCCAGGTAAAATACATTGTGGTTGGTTGATTAGCTAGATCCTGGTATAATGCATTGTGGTTGGTTGATCAGCCAGATCCAGGAATAATACATTGTGGTTGCTTGATCAGCTAGATCCAGATATAATACATTGTGGTTGGTTGATCAGCTAGATCCAGGTAAAATACATTGTGGTTGGTTGATCAGCCAGATCCAGGGAAAATACATTGTAGCTGATTGACCAGCCAGATCCAGGTATGATACATTGTGTTTGGTTGATCAGCTAGTTCCAGGTATAATACATTGTGGTTGCTTGATCAGCTAGATCCTGGTATTTTATTCATAAATTATATCAATACATATCTAGTTCATTTTTATGCACATCTATATTCTTTGTGTTAAATTATTAACCAAATGATGTCACCTGTACTTATACAGACGATAATTACATGTGATGATGTATATTTTGATTCATTTTCGCCCAGTTTTCAGTTTAGTTGATTTAATATTATTAATATTAGAGAACATAGTAAATTAGTAATATACTGCCATATTATTATTACTCGTGTCAAATCTTACCTCAGTATCTGTAAGTTACACTGTAAATCAATATGTTGCATAGTATTAGGGAATGAAATAGAGCTTAAATAAATCTGTTGCAAAAACAAATTTGAAGATAAATTACCAATGTGACGGAAGCTAAAATTAAAATTTTAGGCTTAGGTCTACGTGAAAAAAAAACACACATAGATAATACTAAATGGTAAATACCTGTCGCACAAGTCCATCGTATTCGCAGTATCAAACATTTATGATGAACGTTAATTTTAGTTGTAATACAATATGTCAATCCAATTTTCAAGACATTAATTAACTGAAAATTTTTGGAACTCTGTTTTGACTGTTCTATTTTTACTGTCTTAATTCGTTTGATTTTATTTGTCTGCAAAGTAATAAGTACAAGATACAACACAAATGTTTGTTAACCATTTCACTTCACGACCAAACTGAGGTTATACTAGAAAAAACAGCAGCTAACAAGAAAACGTGAAAGGTCTGACCGTTTAGTGTACTTGTAAATATTATCAAAATTTTTACTTTTTTAATGAACACACGGAAACATATATGTATATTAACAAATACTAAATTTGTAATTGCTTCTTATATATCTACTTATAAAGTTTAAAATGCATTATTTTATCAGTTGTGTACCTCACTGTTAACGATATTTTGGGTCGTAATTTCTAATATAGAATATTCGTTTATCGAAGACAGTTCTTGTAAATAATAGAAAACGTGAAATTACAAAGTAAAGATGTAGAAAAATGCTATTTATTTAATTTAAGGTTTATTTATTTCAGAATGTTTTGCGTATAGTAGTCTATGATTTTGACCTGGCAGACAATAGGAAAGGCAACTACTCAACAGCATCCACTGCCAACTCTTAGGTTACTCTTATATGACTAAATAGTGATTATTACCTTCATAGCTCGCCCACAGTCTCAAAGTGAGAAGCGTATTTAATACAATAAATCATCAGATTCACATAATCGAGGAGCAAACTACAAGGCCAAGCCCGGCATAATGTATTACTGAAGATTTTCAGGTTATAAAGAAACTAAGAAATAAAAATAAGAAACTATACATTTAATCTGATTTGTAATAGATGTTTATCTTCAGATAAAGCGAGGGTTTTCTCTAAGGTAGAGCTCTCGACCTTGGAACTTGCGATTCGGATTCTTGCGATACCAAAAAATGGTTGCCACACCTTAAGCTGCAAGTCCATTATAAGAATGACAGTCAATCCCTTAGCGTGGATAATTGGTAGGAGAGTGCTTCTGACTGGCTGCCTTGTTTTTAACTTACACTAAAACAAATGGATCGCACAGTGTGTCTATTACGTACAACAGAAATAGATATATAAAAAATGTGGTTAACATTATTCTATATTTGTATATATGCCACATTCACAACGTACTCTGAGTAGATTTAATTAGTGGATATATTTCCATATACAGTTTTACAATTAGGGCAAAAGCTAAATAAAAAAAACGATACTGAAATAGATGCAAAATTAGCAGGACAGCGTAAATTGTTTGAGATTCCACACTCAACTAAAACAAAAACACATTATACTGTTCCGTCAGCGAGGTCACGTGACTAGTATCACGCCACCTCCTTCTAGAAATATCCTGTTTCTTCGTGAATTGTCGGGAGACTACTAGATTGGGGATAGTCTGGTATATATAAGACGATCACAACGTGACGGAACAATGAGTAATTGAACTGCAGTCAGAGAGTGTGTAATTGAACTGAGTATTTTTGAAGTCGAGCA